GGAAACAGAGAGTCTGAAGCTTTTATTTTTCTCTCTCACTGAGCACCCAGGTGTTTAAACCACAAAATTCACAGCAGGGTACAAAGTTCTTAAGGATCATGATCTTTCTTTCCAGTTTTCTGAGAGTTAACCGTCTCCTCAGTTGTGCCTTCCTACTGATGCCATTTTAATTTTTACCTACTGATTTTGCTTTTACTGAGATAATTTTTACCAAATTAAATAACCATGTACAGTCGGCTTAGTGTACAAAATAATGTCATACATAAACTTGTGAAGCTATTTCTTTGTGGTTTTTGAGTCACCTGCAGAGCTGGAGACCACATCAGCAGGGTTCTCTAGATATATATTGCCGTGATTTAGGGACTGATTAGCCCAGCAGTCTAGCCAGCCCTACATCCTGCTTCAATGATGGTGACCAGGCTTCTTGTCTTCTTGTTTGACTTTTTCTTCCCCCACACCCCAAGAATAAGCTGTTTTTTCCCCAGAAGGCCAAATTGATTTGATGGAATTTTACATTTCACTTTGCTTCACCTCCTTTCCTCATTCCCAAAATTTCTGGATTTTGGTCAGGAGCATTGTTTCTTTTTGAAATTGTACTTCCTAATAATTTCATCCAAAAGAAGATAGTTGTTTTAAGACCTTTAAGATCTTTTTCAGGAAAACAATATTTAAAAAAAAATACTATTAGAAATGGTAGTTTGGAGTTTCAGCAACAAGTAATTGTGGGAAAATGTATTTCCTCAGAAAACTTCATCTTGTTTGGCAAGAGTTAAAGAATAGCCATTTATTAGCCTTTTTAAATCATGTACCTACATTCAGAGAACTTCGGTGATGCACCATTTAGGTCATGGTAAACAAGACACTGTCTGTCACGTCTCAGTTTTTCTTTGAATATAAAGTCCAATGGAGTATTGTATAATAAATATTAACTACTTTTCTGTAGGACAGCCATATCGCAGGTGTACAGGAATAGCTAATAATTAGTGCCAGTAAATCATTGTAGCGCAAACCGCGAACGTTATCACTCAGTTTGTAATTTACGCCTGATGTGGGTACTTGTTCTTCTTAATACTTAATATGTCTGTTTATAGAAAAGTTGATTGAGATAATTAGCAATAAAAATGCTAAGGTAACACAGCTATGGTAACGTTTATATTGCTATCAATTTTGTTTATAGCAGCCTGAAGAGCAATACTGAAATTAGAAATTAACTACAATTAGCAAATAAATTGAGTGTCTCTTGGAATTACTTGATCATGTCTTAAAACATTGCACAGTGTGATGCTCACGGCAGCAAAGCCGAGTCCCTGGGCTGTAGCAGCTGCGCTGAGTTGAGGAGCGCGCAAAGCAGGAGCCTGTTCGCTTCTCTGCTGCTGATCAGCTGGAGCAACTTCTGTGCCCAGCCCAGGGCATCTTTTGAGCCTGTATCTACCTCACCTTTGGTGGCGCCTCTGCTGTTGCCCTCCAGTATAGGTTGATGAGCGCATGCTGCGATGCCAGAAACAAAAGTTTATTGTTGGGGATTTGCCTCTCCATGGGGGGAAAAGGCAGCTGAGTGTGCTTTCCAGGGATGTGCACCTTTGTAGGGGCAGCTTAGAGAGACCATTTGACTTCCACGTTCTCAGTAAAGTGACCTTGAAACACGCATTTAATGTTGGCAATGCAGTAAGAGAGGAATAACTTGGGCTGGAAACGTGTCATTATCCCAGATGAGTCACGGGTATGGAAGTTGGTTTCCGCTGCCTGAGAAGTGTCAGTTTGGAGGAACTTGGATATTATTTTATGTCCACAGGTAGAAATAGTTTGTTTCCCATAGTAAGGCACTTTAAGAATACTGCTTGATAAATGCTATACAGATGCATGTAATTATTTTTCTGACATGATTTCATAGTTAGATGTGAAAAGAAATGTGTTGCTTACTACTGTTAAAATGGGCCATTAAATAGAGTTTTGAGAATGAAAAGAGAATCAAACAGTTTCAGGGGCAGCCACTGACTCACCTCTCTCAACTGTTTCATGCAGAAAAACCTTCCTTGTTCTTTCATCCTTCATTGTATTTTGGAGACTTCTTGTAGTTCGAGGCAGACAGGCAATAGTTTCTGAATCATGTGTGTCTTTCAATTCTGTGTCCAGCAGGGAGAAGGTGCTGCTAAACCTCCCCATCCTCTTGACTCAGATACAAGTCTTGAGTCTTCATCTAAATCTCATGGGACTGCTCTTAACTGTTGGGATATTGTCCAATTTTGGGTGCACGTATTTGCTTGTACTACTGAAATTCTTTAACTTTGTCTAAGTTTAAGTAACCATTGGGCTGGAAAGGGAGAGGACAAGTGCTTCACTCTGTACTTAGTGCACTGAAAGGCTGTGGGAATGCAGAGTCATGTCTGTGCTCCACTGAACAGCAACTAATCCTTATGAAGTGAAACAGGAGACCTTGTCTGGCCTGAAATGAAATGGCCCATAGTCGAGCAGCTGTGGCATTTACCTGGGATATGGAGAAATGGTGGCGCAATGATGTATGCCTGGTGATACACGACTGCTTAACTCCCTCCTCATCCTGTATGCTGTATATCCAGTTCTTTTTCTCTGGGATTGGAAATCCCATCCTTATCCTGGGAAAGAGCCCCAACCGGTGTTAAATTTTCATATTGCCAGGAAAAAAACCCCAAGTCATCTTGGGTAAATGAGCATCCTCATGGGAATCAAGATTTCCTTGATTATTCCCTGGCTGCTTCCTTTCTTCCTACTCTTCAACAGATTTTGTCTCTTTAAAGAGCAAAGCGGGGCTGAGGGGTGGCAGAAAATGACTGAATGTCAATGTAAAGCAATCCAATGACTGCAGATGGGGCGGTCACAGCGCCGTGTGAATTCCCGCTGAGTGCTGAGCAGGAAGATCCTGGCTGACAGGGTGAGGTTATCTGGCCTGAGGCTGCTGCTGCCTTTTTTTGTTGTGTTTTCTTCAAAGCCAGATGTCTGAGTTCCCTGTAGGTTTCATCTGGGGAGAATTTATCACTGATAAATAACTATTTGTGTTGAATTTACAGATGAGCTAAACTGTTTCCATTAATGTTGCCATTTAGTACCTTTTTCTTTTCAGGTTTGCATGAGCACTTGCATTTGAAGGAAATAAATCTGTTGCTCAGATAATATATTTGCCCTTGGTACCAAAATATATAAATAAAATTTACAAGGTCATTAGCCATATGAGGAGAAAGAAAAAAATGTGCTGTGCATTAAATAGCTGACTTCCAGGATAGATTGGGCAAATAGCAGTGTACTAAAGTGTACTGCTCATTTCTGCTTCTGATCATGAAAATCAACTAATTCCTTTCTTTTTTGTAGCACTTCCTCTTTGCACTGGAAACCCTCAACCTGTGTCAGTCCAAATTTACAAGCAGTGTCTTTTTCAGTGTACTTCATTTATCAAATGTAAATTCCAGTGGCCAGTGATTTACTACAGAACTGTTTGGAAAGCAGCAAATAAATATTACCTAACAAAGTTTTGGGGTTTTTGTTTGTTTGTTTGTTTTTTATAGCACTAAGCTGGAGGAGAAGGTTTTATCTGCCACTTCCCAAGAAATTTATCTTTGTCTCTGAGAAAGGCAACCTTGAAAAGCAATGGATTATTACTTGTACTTTAAAATCTCTCATTTATTTCAGTTAGACTGTAGTACTGGGTGCAGACCTGAGGGAACTGAAACACATGAGCTTCACTCGCCCTGCATCACTCCAGATCTCACTGATTCAAAGAGACAAGTCCACTTTGTTTCCCACCATGGAGTTCAGACAGTAAATAATCAACAGGAAAACATGGCATGGTATGGGTATGGTGATGTCTGGAAGGGTGGGTGATACTGTCTCCACTTGGCCCCTTTTATCCGTCTTCATCAGCTCAGGGGATAGAGAGATAAGTGGTCATTTATTGCTTCTTACATGACTGGGCTGCAGGTAAAGGTGTACAGAATAGCTGCACCAGAGGTTTCTCCTTTCCTCGCTGCCTGACAGCTGGGAGGATGTAGGAGCACTGGGAGAGAAATGTATTTGCTGGGCTCACATCCACTGCCAAGCGTGGCAGTAACCCCTGTTGCTGAATAAACGTGCATTTTGGTCAGTGGCCAGATTCACCAAGACGTCCTGCGCTAAGACTCGTGTCTTTATTTTGGGGTAAGATTTCCATGGGATGTCCTGTACTGACCAGGTAAGTTAGTGCTTGTTTCCTACTGATGAAGGCAGGGCAAAGTGTGTGTGTGAAGGGAGAATTGCTGCTCTGAAAAGCAGCAAAGGCTACAGGGGCCAGATTAGAAAGAGAAAAGAATAATCAACTGACTCGCAATCAAAGTCTTAAGAGAAAATAAGTGTGTTTCCAGGCTTTTTTTCTGCTGGTATTGTACACGTGGGTAATTGGTTTTCTTCTGTTTGGCAAAGGTAATGTTCAGGTTCCCACATAAAAGGCACTGGTGTGGAATAGGTCATCTGAAATGCTTATGTATGCTAAGTGTGTATCAGATTTTTCTGGCAATCACATTTAAGCTATTAAAAGTTTGCTGGTTGATTTGGAGAGCTGATACAGCAAACCCCACGTATACAGTGCCAAACACAGCCATGTGGTACACCTGAGTTTTACTGAAGTTTCAGTAACAAGAACTAGGTTAAATAAGTCCTTATGATAGAGGTTACCACCTTATAATTTGTTTTCTCCTTAATGGTTCCAAGAACAGTGACATTATGGGGAAGGACTTGGATATTTATGGCATCTAAACTTATGTACCTGACACAGCCAACTGCATCCACCTCAGATGCATCTGTAGTCAGTGTGCAGAGAGAGGGGGTTCACCCCCAGAGCAGGTAAATCAAGCGATCGTTCTGAATCATTCGATAGTACCCATCTCTACCTAGGGAACACTCGATGTACAGCAACTGAAAAGAAGCAGTTGTATTGTCTTAAAAAGAAAAAAAAAAAAATAATGTAATTGGTTTTCCTCCAACTCTCCCAGGTCTGGCAGTGCGGAGGAAGCATGGAGGTGTTACCCTGTTCTCGCGTGGCACATATTGAACGCACAAAGAAACCCTACAACAACGACATTGATTACTATGCAAAGCGCAATGCCCTGCGTGCCGCTGAGGTCTGGATGGATGACTTCAAGTCACATGTTTACATGGCGTGGAACATCCCCATGGCGGTAAGTACGGGTCATGCTCTTTCCTGAACAGAGGCAGAAATGTGGACGGCTGTTCCTAGTTAGCTCTTTGAGGTGAATGATATTGCTACAGTTGTTCAAAGTGAGTGAAGCTCAGGGGGAAGAGTGCTTTCATGCTGGTGTGTGCTTGCTAACAGAGAGCTCTGCCACATAAACTTGCTTCCTCGGTGTAAGTTTTGTTGTACGCTCAGGAGTGGTGACACAGATTTATAATTTAACTAGAGCACGATGTTTCAGGTTTATGTGCTTCCTCAGAAGAAGTCATTAATTTGGGATGCCGTTAAACTTGGAAGTGTTCATATGCTACAGTGGTGAGGACTACAGAAATGTCCATAAATAAATATCATCATTCATCGTGAACCTTAGTAGACCTCACCAGCATAAAAAACAAAGTATGTGATAAAAGAATCACACATTAACTAGCTTTATTGTCCACAGGCTGAGAGTTGCAATGTGGACACACTCTGTTTCTTACTGTGCATACAAATTGTAGATGGCATGTGAGGGCCTCTAGGAATCCATGTAATATAAATATTAGATAAACTGTAGGTTCAATTTATCACTTGATTCGGTAAGTATATCACATGCTACATCTCCACTGAGCATAATTGTTGGAGAGAGGAGATATATGTTATATCCCAGTCAGGTGGAAGCTGACTGCTGCTGTATTCCTTAGTGGTATTTGCATCCAAATTATTCATGTGAGGGGGCCGAGGGAGAGCAGCTGAGGGGGGAAGCATACTCTGATCTGTAGGTAATGATGGTTTAGTTAACCCTTATAAGAGGGGTTTGTCCAGAGCTGATTGAAGTAAACGGAAACAGGAGTGTTCCTATCAGAACAGGAAAATATGCCAACCCAGCAGTGGCTTTGTGAATATGTAGCTAGGACCTAGAGTCGATCAAAGTCATGGGAGTCTTGTGAAAGACTTTGTCAGGTTCAGTCTGTGTCCTAAATATCTACTTGTACTTTGGTACCTAGGTAATATATCAAAACACATGTTTGTTCATTCCTGTTGTAGTTTTGAAAATAGATAGACTTAAAGGAGCAATGTTTCATTCTTCTCCATGTGATGGCTGAATACATCAGATGTTCTCACGTATCTGAATGTCTGAATTTCACTTACTGCTGTTCAGTATTGGACACTCTGTGCAAGGTCTCTGTGAAGATGTGTTTTGGTGACTTCTTTTGGCATGAGAGGTAATTGCAGAGAATTATTTTGCCTTAACAAAAGGCAATACTGCATAACTTCTTTCCCACACAAGGTTTCCGGGATGGAATGAGGAAGACAAAGCAGTGTCCGTCTAAGTTTTTAGGGGCATTTTGGTCCTATCTGAATCCATTTGATAAAATGGTCAGTTTCAAATAGGGGATGAAAAAGCAGCCTTAGTAAATTTATATGCTTGGTGCCATCTGCAAATGAATTCTAAGAAAAGACAAGATATTTAAATAAGCATTTACGCCAAAACATGATTTCTTTTAATCTTTCTGAGATTACTTATTGATGTAGTTTTCTGCACTCAGCTATACAGCAGTGCTTTAAAAAAAACAGGCACATTACATTAAGAGACATAAAATCAGCAGAAGTACTGAACATTAAAATTTTCTTTGCATAAAATAAATTGATTGATAAAATACGCATCATAAAAATAACCCCATTAGCTGTCAGAAAAAGGAAGCTAGTGTTAGTGTTCACAGAGTTACTCCACTCTAGTATTCAATCTGGATGACTAAGAAGTACTGTACTGTTACAAGCCATAAGAAAAACTTTCTGCAGGAGAACAAGAAACCTTACTGCCTGGTTAAAAAGAGTATGTCCACATACTAAATTCTGTGGACACTTCATTCTTGTACCACCACACTGTAACCCACACGTGATGACTGAAGCTAATACAGAAGTAAGCACAGCGTTTTCATAGCAGCTCAATTTGCTGCTCGTGTTCTGTAGAAATGGGACTGCAAACAGGCACTGTGTTACCTCATTTTGGATTAGAGCAGATAGGAGGCAAGTAAAATACATGTTTTCTCCCATAGCAAAACCCATCCAAATTAACCCTTTCGTAACTCACACCATCATTTTCACAACTCACTCCCTTCCAAGTTATTGAGGATCTATGCACAATATGTATCTTGATTAGCAGCTGGTCTTTGGACACATTTGCAAGATCACATTCCTACAACCTTCAGCAGCAGGTCATCGTAGCTGTATTTTAGTGAACCAAATATTTGGTGTACCCCTGATAATGATCTATTCCTTGTCAATTTTAGTGATAAAGGAATCTTATATGGAATGATTTATTGTACTGAGTGCCTCTGAGAATTGCTCTCCTTCCACGTAGCCTGAAGTAGTACGTAAATTAACATTCATTTGAATGGATGCTGCATAGAGAGCTCATGACAAAGCCTGCATCAGCAAGCAGCAGTGAGCACAGGAAACTCTTTATGAGGCAAATAGAAAAACCTGTTCAGTATTACACTTGTATTCTCTCCTAAAAGCTAGGCATCTGTTGGGGGTTCTAATAAACCCTGAGCTAAGATTTGCTGCTGTCTTGTAACCCTGCATTAGACATAATTTGTAAAATGTACAGAAATCTTTTTGGAGGAAATGTACAAGGCACTTAAGGCAGATCCATGCAAAAGTCCCCGGTTTCAGTCCACTTGATTCATAAAGTGTTGGAAAAGTTTTTTAGATGAGATAACTGTTGCTGTCTTAGTGTTGAACTGTGATGATTTCTAATGGTTTAAATCAACAGACACAAACTCAGAACTTGGCATTTTTTAAATGGCTGCATTTGATCATACTGATTTGACTCTTCCAGTCTGTGTTTTCTATGGGATTTGTATTCAAAAGTTAATTAAATTCTGAAGCAGAATTATAAAGAATGTTTTGAGTTTAACCGCATTTTATGGCTCAAGTCTGAAAATGAGCTCCAGTTCCAGTAAAAACTGAATGCTGGTCTATGCAAATGTTTAATGGAGCTTAATGACTTTTTGAGCAGCTCTGCTTTGAAGTTTTAACAGGTCTGTTCTGATCTCATTTACATTAGTGAATACCCAAGGCTGTTGCTAGAGTAAACCATGATCAAGCTGCCATATCTTAGATCAGAATTACCGCCTGAATTCCTAACGAATCTGAAAGCAAAGGAGTTCAGGTTTGATTGCAAACATTTAGAATTGCTGTAAGTAACAACATTCTTATTGTATTCTTATTATTTTGATTTATGTTTGCTTTTTGCTTGTTCGTTATCCTTCTTTTTCCACTGACTCATTAATATTTATTGTCTACTCTCAAGAACAGCTGTTTGATGAGCTGCTATTTAGAGAAAGAAGAGAGGGAAATGCAGCTTGGTACACAAAATGAACTCCAATTTGGTTTCAATAAAGAAAACTGTAAAGTCAATGCAGTGAGATTTCTTTCTTCTTTTTCTGCTTTGTAGAACCCTGGAGTTGACTTTGGAGATGTTTCTGAAAGAATAGCTCTACGACAGCGACTGCAGTGCCGGAGTTTTAAGTGGTACTTGGAGAATGTCTATCCTGAAATGAGGGTTTATAATAATACAGTCACTTATGGAGAGGTACTGTATGTCTTTGAAAATACATCATGGATGCTTTCGAGCAGTCCTTTCATCTTAGTGGTGGGTATCAGGATGTACAGAGCAATTTCAAGTCAGCACAGTAGTAACAACGGAAATGCCCTCCCCTACTTTCAATCAACACTAAAAAGTGTGTCATTGCGAAGCACTGTCCCTCTCACTGGAGTATATTAGATGAAATCATTCTCACTAGCCATGATATGCAACCGCCGTGGCTTTAATTTTAAAATAGAGCAGCTCTGAGAACACAAATTTGAGGTAATCTTTTTCCCAAATAGGATGCCACAGATGTCATCAAGAAAACACCAGCAGTCAAGAGAGCAAAAATAATTACAGTTAATGAGAACAACTGAATTTGCTGAATCATTTTTAGGTATAGAAACATCCCTTTTTGGGGTTTTGCTAAACTATTTAAAGGATTACATTCACTTTCTTAATTCATTTTTACAATCCTTATTCAGGATAAAAAGCAATGTGTCCTTGTTCAGATTATGAGGTAAGGCTACCATTTGGTAGATCTTAATTCACCATGAAAAAGTCATTAGAGGAAAAACAGTTTTCCTGCTTTGTGCTCACATTCTGTATTTTCATTTTCACTTGTGTACCAGTATGGACTAAGACCTTGGAACACCTACTTAGAGACAGCAGAGTGGATAGGTTACTTAACCCTAATAAAATGCTGAATCCAAACATGCTAGAAATGTGTAGACATTTTGGTTCACCTCAGCTGTCTGGATCATTTCTTTCTCTTCTGTAAACCAATCAAAACTCCCACATACACTTGACCCCAATCTTTAAAGAAGTCAGACATGCCTTCTGTAACTGTTAAAATATCACATGCCTCTAATACAAGGACTGCTGTCACTTATGACTGTGAACTGGGGTGAAGTTCTAGGAGCTCTCCTGCTGCATAATGTTTTTAAGATTCTGTTTTAATGGTCTACTTGAACTACAATTAAATCCAAAGGCAATATATTTTCACACAAGACAACTAAATGGACATTCTTCCTTTCTGTTCCATTTGATTGACTTAATATGAAAATAAGTCAGGCACTTCAGATATTGATACAAAGTGCAAGTTTTATTGCATAATACCACTTTGCATCCTAATATAACTATCACTGGCAGTAACTGAGGAAAGACATTTAGTAAATTCAACAGGAGCTATTAGTAACTGTCAGCTCTGAGAAGGCTGTTAAGCACAAAGAACATTGGCAGTACTGCCAATGTTGTGTCAATTATACCAGACGGTTCGCAAGCTGGGTTCTGAAAAGAAGTTTGTTTCTATTAAGTGGTTGCATAGAAGGTTCTTGAGACAAACAGGAAGTTTAGTGATGCAAGTGTCTAATTTATTAAAATTTATGATAAAATGGAGCCACACAAGCTATTTAGCTAGTATAAACTGGCATAGTTCCCTTTGTCTTCCATGCCCATAATGAAAAAACTAGAGGCATCATCCTGAATGACATCAAGCTTGTTATTAAATACTTTTTCTTCTGGTTATTTTCCTCAAGGAAAAGATGTCTGGATTTTAGTGAGTTTAAAGGAAAATAAATGTATTGAGTAGATGTGAAACAGATTGAAACAGTAGTAAAAATATATTTCCTAGTGACTCAATTCACATTTTTTAAAGCCGTGTTATAAAGCTGTCTTCATCTTCTTTAGCCTTTATAGTATCTGAGTAATAAAATAAACCTCCTGAAATTTAACTGTTGGTGACTCCCCCCCTTATCTTATCAGATTCCCTGTTATGCTTGTACACTATAATATGAAGGATTACTTACTGATTTTTCCGACACCTCATACAGCAGCTATTTCTGTTATTGGAGTGGCCAGACAAATGCTTCACAGTCTAAAGCAAAACTTACCTGTTGACTCTTTCAAAAAGTCTGTCTAAATAACTTCTTGTTTAAGATACCTGTAAAATTTTTCTGTGTCCAAAACATGTGAGTAATGCTTCTAGCCTAAAGAGAAAGAAAAGCCTGAAATTTCACCAGAGCTTGTAAATTCTTCTTGTCTGGGGAGGTACATGATTTTTTTTACTTCATTGGATCTCTGAACCTGCACTTTAAATACAGTGACAGCCTTCCAACACTGCTTGTCATTGCTGTATCCTCTCACAGCGATGTGCTTTATGTCACTTCTGTACATAACGTTAGACTATATTCTCAATTCAGATAATTTTTTTTCACATGCTTTTATTGTTTTTATATAAGCAACAGGAGCAAAGAAAAGGGTGCCACATCCAACACCCACCCTGGGTAGTTCTTATGCTGTTTAGTGAAGTCACATTCTCAGTATATAGGGTCAAAGTTTATGTTTACACAAGGGTAATTTGGAGCAAAATTTGGCCTGGGTTTATTAGAGTGATTTTTATGGGATTGTGTGATCCTTGAGTAATTGCTGAAAATATAACTCTGAACCCAAGGTCTTTAAAGACAGTAGGTTGTCCAAATAATGTCTTTTTCTGGAGCAAATTCACTATTGGCATCCTGTCATATATGGAGAATAAGCATGTGTTTCTCAGAGAAGAACAGTTTTACATTCTAGTTGTTTCAATAGCTGTAGTACAGCTAAGATTTAGCTAGATTGGGTTTGCATCGTACAGATTAATTTCTAATACAACTGTTTTCTTTCTGATCCGGCTGTAGGTGCGTAACAGCAAAGCTAGTGGCTACTGCTTAGATCAGGGAGCTGAAGAGGATGACAAAGCAATCCTTTATCCATGCCATGGAATGTCCTCTCAGGTAAGTGGTTAAAATCCCATAATTAATGAGAAAACTTTAACTTAAAGAATTTTCAGGAGAGAAAAAAAAAAAAGTTATTTTGTGCATTTGAGTTGAGTTTGGCAGTATATTGCTGAGTTGCAAAGGATAATATCTGGCTTTACTTCAGTCTTTTTGGGTGCCCTTTCCAAGGTTGTTCAGCATGTGAATCTATACATTGAAGATACCAGTTAGGAAAACAGAAGAGTCATGATAATTTGTTTTAGTAACAGAGAGATCCACCAAAGATTAATGAATTTAGACAGTCTGTGTGAGTGAGCAGCTGCTCTTGTTACGACTTGACTTATTCTAGGAACAGTACCTCTTTAAATTAACTGTTCATTGGTCCAAGAGGCTCCTATGCAGAAATGATTTAGCAAGCTGCTGATGTGATTCCCCAAGTAGACAAGAAGTTAAGCAAGTATTTAATATCATCTTCAAAGGGAATTAAGAATATCATTGAAGTTAATACTTTTCTAAAATAGATTTCTTTTTTGTCAGTCCCTATGCATATTATTATTTTTTACAGATGTCTGACGTTTCTTCTTTCCATGCTCATACTGGTGTTACTTGTTTTTTAAATACAAGTTGGATATTATTTAGATCCAGGACTTGAGCTGCTTTTGAAATGTAATTGTAGTTTCTTTTCAAGTACCATCTGTATCAAAACTATCTTAATGAACATTCTCATGTGTTAATAAACTCTGACCTTATCACGGACTTAACAATTATCTGAAGTTCAGTCATACATTTATTGATTTGGAGTCCTGGCTCATACATCACTGTGGAGGCATAACAAGAGTCTCAAAATATAAATATTGCCTCTTGTGCTTAATTGCAACCTGGTCATACCTTATTAGAGCAAAGTGAGATAGACAGTAATTCCTACTGACAAAATGTCCACCTTTGGCAGGATCTATTACATTTGACTGATGCTTTTCTAGTAGAGGCAGAAGGAACAGCCTTTGAGTAAAGTAACAAAATAGTGTTGCTTAATTAGATGTAAATGAGCTCTTCAAGAAGACTCTAGTTAGAGATGTCAAGGCACTCAGAGAGAGTTCAGTCTCTTGCTCCATTCTAATTCTGACCAGAAGCTTGCAAATTTAAGTCCTTCCCGAAAGTCCCTTTGCAACATCTAATCTCCTATCATCATGCTAGCACTGAGAAGAATAATGAAATAAATGGTTCTGATTGTAATTTATTTTGCAATTTAGGTCCTTAACCTACTTGTTTTGCTCCATGACTCCTGTTTCATAGAACATGCTTTGACTTCCAGAAGAACAAAATAGATGAGGGCATAAGTTACTGTGAATTGATTTGAAAGGAAGTATGATGTGCCCAGCTTCTCCTAGCTAACCTTGTAAATTTTGGGGCATAAAGTAGCTCACCTCTCAGCATCCAGCTCTGACCAATTTTTCCACTAAGGAATGGGTCATTTTCCTTTTAATAAGATGTAAATACATTGCCTAGTAAATGATGCTTTTTAAATTACCGGCTCTAGACTAGACACTGGGCAGCTCTTCTCAGGTGCAAATAATAATACACAAAGTATTTACTGCCCAAGACGTTGAAATTGGATAGTGACCAGTTAAATCTCTTCTGGTTCGCTTCTCCTAGAGGTCCTCAGTATCCTGTCTATGTGAATTTTCTGGAAAAGCCTGAAAAGCTGTTTTTAGACTACATTACAGCCACAAGCTAGTGCCCTTTTGTTACTAGCACTGTATAAACACATAAAAAGAGAAAGTCACTCTTCCCAAACTCTTAAAATCCAAAGCATCCCCTGTGTGTGAGAATTATACAAGTATGGGAAAGGCAAAAAGTTAATCTACCAAATCATCCTGCAGCACTTTCCATTTCTCCCCTTTTTTTTTTTTAAAAAAAAAAAAAGGTTTCATTCCATAAGAAACACCAAGGAGAAGGCAGAGGTGATGTTTTATCTAAGTTCAGTATTTCACAGACAAGCATGGGTTGGAGCCACTCAAATGCAGCCAAGTTAATTAATGATTACACAGCTGGAAAACTTCTATCATCTCACCACAATTTACAAAATTAATTCAGTATGAGAAGCACAGCTGCACAAACCCTAATCAAGGATATTCAAGCACATAGCATGAAAGGTGTTGACAGCAAGTGTTTTAATGTATTAAATAAACATTTTTAAAGCCCCTCTTCTAATCAGCCTGGGTGAGCGTAGTTGTCTGTTATGTTTAACTTTCAGTTTCTGACATTTTTCATCTCAAGCATAGGGCATAAAATACCCCTACTGAGTTGAGATTTGGGTTAGATGCACATACCTACTGAATATAAATGAATATAAACATGGAACTCATTTTCACTAGTTAGATTATCACTGGTGCTTGATGTATCCTACTGGTGTGAAAGCCTCTCACTATTCAGTTACAGTCTTGTTTGTTTTTCCTACTCTTCAATTCTGACAAGCAAATTACCAGTGATTTTTAGTATATACATTGTTCCACTGAAACCAACAGAAGTCAGTGAAGTGTTTAGAGAAAACTCACTTAGGAAAAGGATTACTGTTCATCTGTGATAAAATGTTCTTTTCTTCTACTGCTTACCCTTTTATTTCCCTTGCTTATTGCACACCTCTGAATGGTGTTGTCCTGCATTACCAGTGAAAAATAAAACCACTGCACTGTTACTGCTCCATTGTACAAAATGCCTTTCCCTATGTGCATTCTCAAGATCAGTTTTTACCATGATAAATCACATCTTTTCAATGACATCAGCTTTTAAATTTCTGTATTCAAACAGTGACAAGCCCTTTTATGGATGCTCTGGAATGCATTTAGCCTGAGTTTACATCAGCTTAGCTTAATGAATGTGACTTGAGCTAAATCAGGGTAAGCTAACAGCTGGGAATATCCAGACAAGGTTTTGCATCATTCTAAGTTGATTTCAAAACTCCCCTTACAGAAAAGAAGTGTCCTTTTTATATGTGTTCATTGGATGTGAAGTTTGAGTCTAATCCCTTTCAGGAAAAAAGGTTTGCAAATACTGGTGGCAGAAAGTCCAGGGCTAGAGAAAATTCAGAACCAAAGGAATATATTTGGGTTCTTGAACTGCCTTGCCTCTGCATGTGGCCTCTCTTTTACAGTCACCTGTAAAGCCCATTGGTTCTATAGCACTACATAATATCCTTTTGTTGTAAAAGAAATTTTAAAAATGAGGAGGGATGGAGATGGATACAACCCCTCAAAAGTGGAATGTCTTGTTCTGGAAGCTTCTTAGAATGGTTATAGGACACACAGATTTTAAACCATCTGAGAACACTTATACAGCCTCAGTGGAAATATTCTCTGTCTTAGAGTCAGTCTTGAATGCTGTGATGTGGAGCTGATTATATGGTATGTGAAAGAAGAGAAGTTAATAAAATGGCATCCTGGGATAGAAAGGCCCTGGTGAACAGCCTGTTTCTCCTCCCTCCTCTCTTCCCTTTCACACCAAGAGAAAGAGGAGGTACTGCAGCTGTGAAAGTGAGAACTCCCTCGGCATTGAGATCAAGTAGAAAGAAGATCTCAATGTTTGGATTCCTGGAGCTCGCGGCTACCCAAACAGATGGAATAAGAGGAGATGAAAGGCTTTTCTTAAACTGTTGCTTGAGGGCAGATATTTAACATTTTGCTTGGTAGAGCTGTAGCTTTGTAGAGTTGCACTGGGTAGCAGGTCTGATTGCTTAGAGTTTGGTGGATGAAAAGGTAGTTTCTTAACTTGAAGGAAGCGGTGGGTGAGATTCTGTAACAAACCTGGAAGTTTGGTAACTCGTGATCTGTTTGTCTTGTCATGACAAAGTATTCTGGAGACTTAAGGTACGTAAGATTCCTGTATAGCTCGCTATTTCAATTTCTGTGTCAGCTTACAGCTTATCTGAATCTGCAGGGTTGAAGGATCATTAAAGATTTCCTTTTACTTGGAGAACAAGAGTGAGAGAGGGGTTAAATTTAGTGTGGAAAGCTACCAGACCCATCTGTGTAACTGTTTCCTACAAACAATTACCTGTTGTTATATTGCTTTTTTTCACTTGCTGGAAATTAGCAGGAATAAATTTTCTGAAGTCTGATCCTTCAGTTAAAAGCCGACATTTACTTATCATGTTGATGCTCCTGGAGGATCACCTTCCATAGGCAGCACCACTCACTATTTTTCAACCAGATATGATGGCTTTGATAAACAACCTTTGATATCTTTTCCATTCTACTTAGATTTCGGAATGTTGAAGGGAAAACTACCCTATGTTATCATAGGTACAGCAGATAGTATCAAGATTAGATCTTTAAGTATTTAGCAGAGCATTTAGCTTCAGTGTCTTTTATGTGGATCCTTCAGCTCTTCTCAGATAGAAGAGAAAAACTGAGCAAAGGTCCATCCTCATGTGATGTATAAAACTGTGTTTCTGTTTTGCAGCTTGCAGTGGGAGTATGTGGATACCTAAGGTTCTCAACCCATCAAGACTTGCCAGATTTTTATTTTATTTTATTTTTTTTTTTTCAATGAATAGGATTGAATATTCCTTTATAAAGGGGACTTTGTAATTTGATTTTGGCTGGCTGGCACTGGGAATGGATTTGGTGTGATGTATCATGCCCATAGTTCTAATGTAAATTCAGAAGTTATTTCTTTTTCAGTATGGTTGTGGCACTTAAGATGAAATTTGAACACAGGAGATGTCATTTTTACTATTTCATCGACTCTGTATCCCAGTTCCCTTTCTAGTCTACAGTAATAAGCAACTTATTTTAATGCTTATTTTATTTTCGCAGTTTGTGTTGTCTCTAGGAAGTTATGATATTAAGTCTTAGGAGGGGGACGTTATTAATCTTATAGTAGTTTCTTGAACCTTAATTTCTGGTCTGATTTTGCAGAAGCAGACACTAAAGCTTTACTATGTAATATGGTCTGAACTAAGATAATTGGTTGTGGATGGTTTTTTAGAATTTTATTTTAGGATAAGCCTAAGTTTTTATGACTGTTGGAACTCTTGGCAGAAAGTACAGATTCAGGAAAATTAAGCCCATGATTTTCCATTTGTCTCGCCATTGTATAGATAGCAGTCTCCTGCACCAAGCCATCTCTGACTCTGTTAAGCTGTCACACAACTGCCACTTTCAATACCGGAGATAGTTTGTAGATTTAGTGTATTGTCCACTTCTGAGGCCCAAGAAGAAACAATACTTTCTGCTTTGACAGTCCTCTTTATAACAGTGTCTCTCCCAAGTCCATGGCTACTGTGATGCAGAGCACTTGCAATTCTGACGATTTGGATTCTAAAAACAAACAATATTTTAGACCATTTTAATATCCGTACAGAAAATGCTGCTCATCTTCAACCACAGGGAAAATTGATCCTGTACTACAGAGCAGGTAGCCCATTATAAACAGTGGTCCTGATTATCTAGATAAGTCAAACCCAACCAGGTTGCTAGGTGGTATTCTGGGACCTGGAGAGATATAATAAAGACTGCAAGATGAGCCCATTTCCTGCTCACTGTAAGTTTCAGCCATGCCTGCAGTTTATTTTAATATTACTGAGTACCCATTAGACATGAGAAGTGTGAAACACACAGACAGGTTTTACTTTAAAAAAAAAAAATCCAAAACCACAGCTGTGTGTGTAGGGGAGTCCTTCCTTTATATGGGGAAAAAAGGAGGTTAATTTGTCCAAGCTGGCAGTCCATTTGTACTTTGAATCACTTTGCTTGCTTGAACTTCTTTTACATATGTCCTGCACACCCTTACAATGAAAGGAAAAAAAAAAAAAAAAGGTGTCCTGATTTAATGTGCATAGACAGTGCCTCGACAATGACATTGTTCATACCAAGGAGCATCCTCATGTGATTATCTCTCTGCTCTCTCTGATGTAGCCTCTGTTCTAACTCTGCACTTCACATGGTTGCTCTGAACAGAAGTGGCAGGTGGGAAGATGAACACATACGTTGTCAAAGGGCATCTGGTCTGGGAGCAAGTCAGCCATGCTCTTTACCACCATCAAGATATGATTATTCACAGCATTATTCTTCTAAGGTTAATAAGGATGGCAGTAGAGAGCTAGACTCTAATTCGAGGTTTTTTTGATCGACTCTTAATGATATCTCATGCACTGGCCAGTAGCATCCAATAAATGGCAGGCACTTCTGACCTTCCTTGCCTTTCTTGTTAAGTAATTTCAACCATATAACAGCAATAAGACCAGACAGGCAGTGAGTTTCCTGGGTGATAATTGCATTTCTTTGGTGGTTCAGATCTTCACCCTGCAGCATCCAGCCTCACAGCATACCAGCCATGTAGCTGACTCCATTTGGCAGTCTTTTGGCACCCGGGTGCTGCACTTGACTACTTCAAGGATGAGGAGGGCAAAGCATCAATGCTGGTGTAATGACTGGATTTAAACACAGAAGAAATGAGAAGTAGATATGTCTGATTCGATGAATTGGCCTGCTGCCAAATTAACATGGTGCATTTTTGCTTTGATGTATGAAATCTCCTTCAACAGGCTCTCCCTCAACTATCTAGAAAGTAGCAGTAATTAAGGGGATTGCTTATTAATTTTTGCAACTTATTAATGAGGACTCCATTGCTATCACAGTTATCTCGGTGCAGTGTGATAAGGAGTGAGCTGACAGAGCCCCTTTTCCCTCTAAATGAGCATCCTAAAACCACTGTTAAGGCTTGGAGGCTTTATTAGAATGCAGATTGAAAACAAATTGTAGTAGAGAAAAATCAGATCTGGAAGAGGCAGAATAAAGAGTTTGAAATCAACCTTCCTTCATCAAGACTGTGTTCTCCAGGCCTGCTGTCATCCAGCACCTCTTCAGTGGCTTCTTGGGTTGCAAGAAACTTTTCAAGGTCCCCAGTGTGTCCCTAGGAAAAGCTTTTTTTTTTCCCTCCGTTGCCTCGAGATGGGGGTTTATATCTGCTGCCTGCTCTCCGTGCTGGCTGTGCCCCTTCCCCCGTGTGCCGTGTGGGATGTTGTGCCATCCCAGTGACCTCGTAGCACTCAAGAGAAGGAAGGAGCTGCATCACCCTCCTCTCTGACCCAACATGTAGCAGCGTGAGAAGGCAAACGGGCAGCCACCCTCTGCTTACAAAAAGCTGCTATGAACTGAGCAAAACCCTTCTCTTCTGTCACAACTCGTATTGTGACAATTAGTCCTGATCGACAAGAGCCATCCTTTTAATCTTTAAACATTTTCCCTTGGTCCAATATTAATGTAAGAAAATATATTCTGGCACGCTGAGATTACAAGAGACCAATTTTTTTACCTCACCTTCTACATACAGGGTTTTTTTTGGTTTGTTTTTTTTCTTTAGGGCAATTTTACTGTGAATGACTTGAGGCAAGTGAAATAATCACTTAAAATAGAGGAAAGGTTAAAAAAAAAATTATACTCTTGTAAAAAATTAACATGAATGATTGTGCCCGTTTGTTGCCTCTAAAATAATAAATGGCCCTCACCTGATGCCTCTAATTACAGCCAGTAGCATTTACCACATCACTGAATTGCAGAGCAGTTAAGCCTCACACAAAACTGAAATATCAGAATGTGATTCTTTATTATGTAGGCCTGAAGCATATGTTAGCGAATTTGCTGTTATTTCCCTCATGATTTCTTTTTTTTATTTTCCCCCTCCTTCCCATATTTTTGGATACTGGTTGCATGGTTGGATTTTTTCACTGACATATATTTACAAAAACTAATTAGACTTGTTGCTATCAATAGCCTCTAACAGAGCTCTTAAGAACAAACTGTATGGCAAATTGACATCGTGTCCTTGTTAAATCAGCTCCTGATGAACGGGTATGATTTACATATTGATTACTTCACTTTCTTGATTGCCCTTTTGCAGTGAAAAAGTGGGTAGGGAATGGTGGGGAGCAGAGGTGTGAAAGAAAGGAATATAGTTTCCTACAAGAGACCCTATGTTGGTAAAACAAGTTTCCAAAGCTTTGCCCTTCAGCAGTGTGTGTGCCAGACCAGGAAGGTCCCAACACACAGCAGGAGAAAGGACTTCACCAGCACTTGGAGCAGAAGCTGGCAGGGAGGGCAACTGCAGGTTGGGTTTGTGTCCCATCGCTGGGGTCCCTGGGGCTGCCGTTAAAAAATTCCCTTTGCTTTCTTCCCCAGCTTGTCCGCTACAGCTCTGAAGGTGTCCTGCAGCTGGGGCCGCTGGGCTCCACCGCCTTTCTGCCTGACTCCAAATGCCTCATTGATGACGGGAAGGGCAGGACACCGACTCTGAAGAAGTGTGAAGATGTCCTGAGGCCAGCACAGAGGTTCTGGGATTTCACACAGGTATGGAAGAGCTCAGGGAGCTTTGCAGAGATAAACTAGAGAGGAATGCTGCTCTAGAGGCTATTTAATGAAAAACAAGGAGGTCTTTAGAAGACTATTCTAGGAATCCCCCTAAGGCCTTCTAGAAGTAGTCAGATATGTTTTCTGTAGGTCATGTGCTATGCAGGAATTTTCTTATATTATTACTAGGAATTTTGGGGTATACTTTCTAGGAATTTTTAGTTATCATTTCTTGGAATATTCTTAATTTCTGTAGTGACTGTCAAGAACACATTTGTAATTTTTTTTTTAATGCCAAGGAATGTATGTTTCTAGAACTTTTCTAGTATCATTCAGGAATTTTTTAGATCTAGACCTTTCAAATAATTTTTAGGACTTTTGAAGGCATTCTTACAGTTTCTTTGCTTTCCTATATCTTGGGGTCTGTAGGGATTCTCTAGTGCCTTTTAGAGATTTTTCTAGTGATTTCTGGGGAATTTTCTAACAATTCCTAAATCTAGAATGATGAAGGAATTTTTTTGGCACTTTGTATGGATTATCTAGCTTCTCACAGGAATTTCTAGCACCTTCTAAGGACTTTTATCACTTGATATATACAGAACTTTCCAGGCATTTTGTAGTGCTTTCTAGGGATTTACAGATCTAGAACTATTTTTCTTCTAGTCTTTTCACCTTTTCTATTCCTTCTTTTCTCTTTTTTTTTTTTTTTTTCCCTTTCCTTAGAATGGTCCAATCATCAGCAGAGACACTGGCCGTTGTCTAGAAGTTGAAATGTCAAAGGATGCAAATTTTGGCCTCAGATTAGTTGTACAAAGGTGCTCGGGGCAAAAATGGATGATTAGAAACTGGATAAAACATGGCCGACATTGACTGCTGGGGCTGAGAAGCTGCCTCTCCTGCCGTTGTCCATTGCTCAATGTGCCATATCTTGCAAGGCATTTGTCTTAAAGAAAATTAGTCTGACCAGGACTTGGCTCTCAAGAGTCCTCCATAGTTGGGCATTCAAAGGAAAAAAGAAGAAAAAGAAAAGCAGACACATACATGACTCTTCCTTGCTCCAGCAGATGACCTGGGATGTTCAACAAGAGTTTTCTGTTGATTTGGAAATCTTGTGAAGATCAGAACACAAGAGAAAAGTGGGTTCCTTAAGCTCTCCAATAGACAGATGTTTCTATGATGAGTTCAAAGGAGAGATCCCAATACTGCCTCATAAAGAGAGTTCTCTGATGGGTAGCTTTTTAGCTTTAAGTTATTGACTGGTGCACAACTCCTATGGTGAATAATCATGTGCCTTTTTTATTGTACTTCGTATAAAAGGGGACTGGAAAAATCCTGTGTTTTCAGCATGTCTGGTTCATTGTACTAAACAAGAAGATCTTGTAAATAACACTGGAAATATAATACACTATATGATAAATTTCAAGGTTGATTGTTTAGGAGTCTCTATTTCTAGAAAGAGACTGCTCTGCAAATGTTTACAGGTGGTTCTCAACCTTCAAGCTGCTAAAAAGCAGCATTTTAGAGACCTCTTCTAGTTAGACACAGGTAAATGTTGAATAGGTAAAATAGCCACATGCTCCATTATATTGCCACATTTTACATTTCTTGGCTGTAAAGGCATCACAATATAGCACTTGCATATTTAACTCTTTCGAGGCAGTAAATGTCCTACTAGATGGATGAATTTCTAAAGGCCTCAGTTGGCCCCCAAGCCCTGAGTACTTAAGTGCAAGGTTCCCATCCTGCAGTGCTGTACATGCAGGTGCACGGTTGCGTTGTTCCAGAAACTGCCTGGAAGCTGGATACTCATTACTTCTGAAGATAAGTTGACTGACTTAAGTGCCATCTGTGGAATTTAACAACTTGAATCTTCCATTTTGTTACCCATCTTGTGAAAATGTCAGATGTAAGCAAATACCTCTTTGTGAGCATTATCTAGACAGATTTCCTGAGCAAACCAACAAAGTCTTTTCAGTATTTGAAAAACAAACAAAAAGCTAATGATAAGAGAGCAAATTAGAGCAAGAACTAGGCAGCATATATAAATATGGTTACTCTGAAATGTATTTTGCTGCAGTTGACCCATTGACAGCATCTTTGTGAACTTGTATTTAATAATGCACCGATGGTTCATGCAGTATCTGTGCATGGGTAGCCAGAGCAATGACAAGGCCTTATCCAAAAGGCTGTCAAAGTTGATGACCACTGTCACCATCAGCAGGCTTTGGATATGGGTTCATGGCAGACAGCTTTTCATTAGAGAAGATTCAGTCATACTGAGTTGGCGTACTGAGACAGAGATGACATCTGTCAACTTCACTGTTTAATATTTTCTAGTAATTAAAAAAAAATAGTTTTATTTTATTTCGCTGAGCCAGGAAAATAGGTAATTGCAGACACTGTGGTACCATGAATTTTGGTGATCTCTTTCTTGAAGAGCTTTTGCCATTCCTATTTCAAGGCATGCTGAACAAAATACGATGGGAAGAAAGTTAATTTTTCAAGGATGTGATATGTAATAAAATATTTACTTTTAACATGCAAAATCTACTGGTTCTGGTCAACTCTTGGTTGGTATCTAGAGAACACATTGCTATATTTTGCCCCAATTTTATTTTTGAAACTGAATGTGCAAGATGTAATGCAAAACCAATTCTCCTGGAGTTTATTTGTGCCTAATTGCTGATCTTGATTTAAGTTTTGTGGATCAGGTTATACGTGAATAGATACAAAAGAATAATTCTGGGTGAGATTCCAAATATAAAAATACTTAAAATTCTGCATTTATGGTTAGTTGAACTTGATCTCTTGAAAAGTGTAATAAGACCTGAAGGGAGAGGTAGTATAAATCAAGCAATACAGTAAAAAATCATGGACAAACTCAGTATTCAAGCCTTCCTGCAGGTCTTAAACAGGCAAGAAGTGGGCTAAATACAGACTGGGAACAGTTGCCCTGTATTTAACCTCTTTATATTAACCTGTTAGACAATTTAAAAGGATAGTTACTATCAATGGAGCAGACATTGAATGCTTTGTACAAGAGTTCTGTTTGTAAGTGACTTTTCATCTTCTCTCCAGATACAATTTCTCCCCTTTAAATTGTATGAAAGCTGTATTCTTCTTTTGTTTACTCTGATGGACTTTTACTTCTTGAAATATTTGGCAGAGGGAGGTGAGAAGGCAAAAAAAGGGAAAGATGGTTTTACCAGGTGAGCTTTTTGGGGAGTAACATCACAAGTCATTCTCACCATTTGTAGTTTTTCCAAAGAGTAAGTGCTAACTATTTTATATGAAGAAGGTTGGAAATTGAAAGTAATTATATATTGATGTGTCTACTAAATGTCTAACTATTACAGTATAAAGTTACTGTACTGAACAGAAGCAAATATGCCACAGACCTCTTTTTTTTCCCCTCTGAGTGCAGAGACCACAGGCTGCAGAAGGCTTGCAAGAACCAGGTTGTCAGTATAAGAAGGAAAGCAGATTTTTGTGATAGATAAATGGTTCTGAAATCTACAGAATAATATAAAAGAATTCAAATAGCTCTTAAAGGTGGAGTTGGTATTTTCTGTGATTGTAATTTTTTTTAAGATTTACTGAAACAATTTATTATATTTGAAAAACACATCTGTTGGATTATTTTTACTTTAGTCTTTATCTGTATGAACCACTGCTTTGGCTGTGGTATTAACATGGTGACTCTGCATGTGAGAGGGTCTTAAATACTCTCTCATAAAAGGAATAATAATAAAAGCAGCCTTGAGTATTATCTGTTTTAACCAAAGTCTGTGAGTCTCTTGTTAGTATTTCACCTCTTAGTATAATCTAAAGTCCTGATTCATGTTGTTTCAAATTTTCAGCCTTGTTTCCCACAGTGCAGCAGTCCAGATATTATGAAAAGTATTTAATATAGTGTAATATGCCTTGTAAAGAAAATTCAGATCAAAATCTTCAATTGCTACTTTGATTCAGGAGATTATGGAGTTAAGTACTGGGTCCTAGGACAGAAGAATAGAAGTGGAGAAAGAACATCAAGCCTCTTACGCTGCAGTCAAAGGCAAACCAGTAAAAAAATACTTATGTAAACATGTTGTGATCCCTAAAAATTAGTTTGAGCCCCGTGGGGAGAAAAAAGCCCATTCTCCTTTGAGACCTAGAAACTATTTTCCAGACTGAATTTATTCTTGGCTTGATTAAAGCCATTTGTTCCTCAGCCAAAATTGTCCTCTAGCTTTATTGGATCCCTGGTTCCTGAGGCATGCTAGACTTGGGTGGAAAGCAACTAAGAGAAAGAAGAGCTAAAAAAGGTGTTGTTGAAGGATCCAATGGATTCCCCTGCAGTTACATAAAGATCTATATTGTGCTCATCCATGAGGCATGAGAACTCTTCAGGACTGTTCCACATCCAAAAAACTAAACTCTGGTTCCATAGAAGTGATCTAAGACAAAAATATGGAATCAAACAACAGATCTTTATACATATCCTGAAATTGCTGAACTATCTATCTCATTTCAAGGAATAATTTGGGGCTTGGTGTGTCTGAAGGTCAGGCCTTCACAGTCCTTTGTTTATATTTCTTTTCATCAGCCTGCTCCTTTTTAAAAACTGTGGTCTAGTAGATTAAAACCTCACTTGCCGTGTGACAAGGGGTGTAATCTGTCTGACACAGGACAGCTGCAATTTTAAGTACTTAAGCCAGAGCTAATAAGATTTAATGAAATAGCACCAGTCCTAATCTGTTCTTTAGATCAATTACACAGCATGTAATTCCTTCAGTATCCAGTATTCATTTGAAATGGTTCATTAACAGCCATACTAAAGCACATTATGGCCTGTTCCGGGACCCAATGAGTTGGATTGTAAGAAGATCTCCAATAGAAGTTGGAGTTCAGAAGGAGTTTGGCATATTGTTACTCAGTTAGGACACAGATACCTTTGTTTTTTTCATGAAAGGCTTTGGGAGGAAGAACAATTGACAGAATTTACTTAAATGAAAATGTTTCTAGCAAAGATGTTTCTATTTTGACTGCCTGCTTCTCACTGCTAATCAAAGTTGATTGTGAGGTCATGCCACAGATAAAAGATGGTATTGCAAATTAGAACTAGCTAACAAGATGGATAGAAACTGAGGAATGATCAGGTCTTCACATGTCTCTAGATCTGGATGCCACCAATATAGACTTAACATTATGTTCCCTCTGGAAAGAATCCCAAACTTAAAACATTTTTGTATTGCTTTATCAGGAATACCTATTCAAGAGACCACTTTAGTGTGTACCTCTAAATCTTATTTTGCAGATTTAATTTGATTTTGTGTGTGTGTGTGTGTGTGTGTGTATGACATTAGTGGACTTAAGGTGAGAGCTGTAATTACTGAATGCATGGAAAAGACATTAACCAGCACCGTGGTCTACTGAAGTACGTTCTTCATGGGTGTATAGCTTCCTGTGTGGTAACAAGGATATTCTTGAAACGTGAATGCACTGAGTGCATTCTACTAGAGATGGAGTCTGCTTTCCTAGAGAACTAAGGGAACTCAAAGAAACTCAAATACTGAAATTATATAGTCAATAATTCTCAGTGAAATTGGCACAAAGTGTATCAATATTTTAATCTTCTAAAAAATGTAATGAATTGGCTTCAGGTTTTTTCTTAGCAGTATCCCTATTTTACCCTGATAACTACTGAAAATACCTTGTCCCTATAATGATCTGGGATGCTTATGCCATGTGACAACTTAGCTGTGTCTTTACAATGCCGCAGCCATCGATGGCATTAGAAAAAGAGAGAGGCAGCGACCTTTTTAGCACATTGTAATGGATTTTAGAATGGTTTCACAAAATACATTGACTTATATTACAAAAGCATTAATGATACATAACTAAAGGTATTGAGTTCATGGATTGCCCTAAGTAAACAATGTTTTCTTTGGCCAAGAATATTTACTTATAAATACCCCCGTGAAGCAATATAAGGCAATCTGATTTTGAAGAACAGAATTTCTAAATCAGGAG